GATGTTCTGGTGTTTCTAGGTTATTTTGATGGCGCTGATTGGTTGTAGTGTGTGGTGGATGTTCCGATGTTTCTAGGTTATTTTGGGCGTGCTGATTGGTTGTAGTGTGTCGTGGATGTTCTGATGTTTCTAGGTTATTTTGGGCGTGCTGATTGGTTGTAGTGTGTCGTGGATGTTCTGATGTTTCTAGGTTATTTTGGGCGTGCTGGTTGGTTGTAGTGTGTGGTGCATGTTCTGATGTTTCTAGGTTATTTAGGGCGTGCTGATTGGTTGTAGTGTGTCGTGGATGTTCTGATGTTTCTAGGTTATTTTGTGCGTGCTGGTTGGTTGTAGTGTGTCGTGGATGTTCTGATGTTTCTAGGTTATTTTGGGCTTGCTGATTGGTTGTAGTGTGTGGTGCATGTTCTGATGTTTCTAGGTTATTTAGGGCGTGCTGATTGGTTGTAGTGTGTCGTGGATGTTCTGATGTTTCTAGGTTATTTTGATGGCGCTGATTGGTTGTAGTGTGTCGTGGATGTTCCGATGTTTCTAGGTTATTTTGGGCGTGCTGATTGGTTGTAGTGTGTGGTGGATGTTCCGATGTTTCTAGGTTATTTTGGGCGTGCTGATTGGTTGTAGTGTGTCGTGGATGTTCTGATGTTTCTAGGCTATTTTGGGAGTGCTGGTTGGTTGTAGTGTGTCGTGGATGTTCTGATGTTTCTAGGTTATTTTGGGCGTGCTGGTTGGTTGTAGTGTGTCGTGGATATTCTGATGTTTCTAGGTTATTTTGATGGCGCTGATTGGTTGTAGTGTGTCGTGGATGTTCCGATGTTTCTAGGTTATTTTGGGCGTGCTGATTGGTTGTAGTGTGTCGTGGATGTTCTGATGTTTCTAGGTTATTTTGGGCGTGCTGATTGGTTGTAGTGTGTGGTGGATGTTCTGATGTTTCTAGGTTATTTTGGGCGTGCTGAATGGTTGTAGTGTGTCGTGGATGTTCTGATGTTTCTAGGTTATTTTGGGCGTGCTGATTGGTTGTAGTGTGTGGTGGATGTTCTGATGTTTCTAGCTTATTTTGGGCGTGCTGATTGGTTCTATGTAATCTTTTTGTCGGTACCTTGACATTTCCCCGGTGAATATTTGTCGACACTCTGGAGCAACTTGTCAATACCCATCACAAAAACAAACCCATCACTTAAGCACAGAGTATTCTCATAGCTCGCACAACACGCCGGGTTGACAGCAAGTGTCAAAGACTGTTGATGACGCTAAAGTTTTCTGTAAAATTCGACACCAACCGGGAACTCTTGCATGATGTTTTTTGTTTTTTGGGGTTTTTTTTATTATTATCATTATTACTCTGTTGACAACGATATGAAAGTTTCGATCGAAAAACGTTTAAATAAAATCAGAAAAAAAAAGATATTTTGTTACAAAAATACACAACGCAAGCATGTGTTGTCGTATTAATTGTATGAATAAAAGTTTTATTTCTAGAAGAAGAAAAAACGCCGCCATGCGAACACAAGCACCTTCGCACTCACATTGGTGCGTAATAACAACTTCAAAACATCAGGAGGCAGGTCAAGACAAGACAAATAGAAAGCAACAGCTTGCTTGATCGGTTTGCGATCCCTCACTGTCACGTGTTCTCTAAGAAGTCTGAATTAGAGAATGTTCCTATCTGTGATTGTTTACATGTACCGTTCTGTAAACCTGTAATTCATCGACGACTTCGAATAGAGTTTTTCTCAGCCATATTAAAAATGTAAATTGCTTAGTTGTACTTAGCATAAACTTTTCATGTCCTGATAGCTGATTTGTCTTTTGTATAGACCTTTCCTCCCCCGACAGCTTATATTTGTCTTTTAGATAAACCTTTCCTGGCCCAGTAGCTGATATTTGTGATTTAGATAAACCTTTTCTGGCCCCTGAATTGATGTGTATTGTGAATACATCCAAACATCTACACTAACCACTAAATTATCATTTAGACTAAAGTGAATTTACTGTCGGTTTGATCCAAAAATAATCTTGACTTTAATCAAAACAAAACGCATTATTTGTTGGGACGTAAACGAGATGAAAGCTTTGTACTAAAGAAAACTGTATACCTTATCAGATGTTAGATAGATAAATGTTGTTTATCAAAATCCACAAACACGAAAACGTTAGATTCAGATGAATGTTCAACAACGACGAGAGCTATTTTATTTCACGAAGTTCTAGTTTGGTAATGACGTTCACAAGATTGTCAAATGTCACGACATGTATGTGAGTTGTGATACCGGTGTCGTTAGACAAACCATGCGGCATAATGGTGTGCAAGGAAATCAAATACGAATTAGACAGGAAATAAGACATTCAGAGAGCAGTGGCATTTTAGAGAGTAGAACAAAATCCAATAAAATAAAGAAGTCATCTTGTACAGTCCTGCTGTAGCGTTGTTATGTTTGATTAAAACATTCACGCAAGATATTGAATCTACCGAAGCTGTGCCCATGATGTCACAATGCAGCTCCTTAATTGACTGTAGGAACTTGCAAAACTGAGTTTTTACTTCCAATGCTAAAACAGCATATGTTTTACTCTTCAGAAAGGTGTTTGATTTACTGAACATTGAAATAATTTTGAAACCAATAATTGGCTGTAGGTGTTTCAACACCAGCGTGACAGCTCTATTGCTCACTGCTGCCTACCATGCGTATTGCGGGGACGTGCGAAGGAGATAGCAGAGTGGTGGTAATGAGGAACAGAAAACGAAAATAGAAAACATTGTCAACATCACTTTGTGTTATGGTGTGAACATGCTCATTTTTGGATGTTATTGTTTCACGGCCAACAAGTAAAACGCGTCATGTGTGAGTTATATATATATATCATTTCATTGCTGGTGGCTTCATTTCGTATTGTTATTGGGAATTAAAAGTGGCGTTTTTCGGTATGGCTGAGGATGACTGGACTAAGAAACTAAACAGAAAAAAAACATATTTCACAATTTCTACAAACATCGGTTACCTTCATTATAAATTGTATAAAGTGCATACATATTTCATGTGTGTCATAGCCATCCCTTCAAGTCAATATTATATTATTCGTCTGTCATCTAAAAACTGCAGTTTTGATCACTCTTTAACAGCGAACTCTCCATGTTGATTCCCTTACCAACATGACAAAGATATGGACAATTATCCACCGGCGAAATGAGGCAGTTTCGTGTGTTATGGTGTAATCAAGCTGCCGTTGGATTGCACTGGCTATTGTCAATACATGTGGTGAAGGCGATTCCCGTAAAAACCTGGACAAGTGCACTTGTTTGACTGTTAACTTTACACGGGATGTAATCACCCTAAAGCTTTTTGTAACTGACCGGGGCTCAGTTATTTCCTGTTGATCGAGTCACGAGATCGCACACGTCAATTGTGGGCGCTTGCACTGTTTTCTCCATCACTATGGACAGAAAATCGAACCATAGTTACAGAAAAGGCGTTTTGGACCAGCCTTTTTAATGAAAACATATCGAACATTCTGCTACACTGAATTGTAACGAGTTTAATCTGACGTTGACTCGAGATTGATTCATACAGTTAATTACATACAGATCAAACGCTAACGCGACCATTTAAAGACCTCTAACTGATTAAACCTAATAATTGACCCTCTGTATGGCTGACACAGGCAGATGTTTGTCACTGTCTGCGTCACAAGGCACAAGTGTATGGCCGTTTACAACATATTCGGGTCAGTATTTGGACAGAAATAAATCTGCCAGACATCGGATTCGGACTTACGTTCTTTATAATAATGTTAACGACTTTCGAGTTACATTAATTGTAGCACACTATCTCTCATTTCTAGCGAGATTCAATACTTCAACTAAATATGAACATTTTACATTTTTATACATCTGGTGAATGAATTGTACTTCCATTTAACAATGCTATCTGTGTAGATGTTTCTATAAACTTTTTATTTTCACAGAGGTAAACTATATTGTTGAAATGTGAATGTAATGGGTAACGCTACCGTAGTCCACTGCTAATATAAGTTTCATCTCCCGACTCCCGCCCACTACCTCCCGCCTCCCGCCTCCCACCTCCCATTTGGTGTTCTTGATAAATCTAACAGAATTCATTCTGCTACTTTCGCCAATATCGCCTCTCTGAAGTAGATGTTTATCTGCTATGCAGTAAAAACGGATGAAACTTTTTTTCCGTCTTCCATACTTTACCTACCTGATAAGCTAGTCATAGGTTACCAGGTTAGACATATAGACTGACTAGTCGTTATAGACACGTGATTCTCTACGCTGAGAAGAACACAATACAGTAGCTGTGTGATACAGTTTAATCATTGTTTTACTGTACTGTATCCAATTCTGAATTTACATTGAAAGGGGCTTTTCACTTTTGTGTTATGCTAGGTCTTTCTGATGGATTAGATATCCAAGCAGTGATAATTACATACAGACAGTGATACTTACATACAGACAGTGATACTTACATACAGACAGCGATAATTACATACTGACAGTGATAATAACATACTGACAGTGATAATTACATACTGGCCAGTATTTTGGTAAACACCACAACACATCAGCAGCGACAGCAGTGAGTATGAGGACGGTGGTGCTGCCACAGTATCGTTGACATCGTCTTCCTCGCTGCTATTGTTGCAACCCAATTTTTTTTTAAATTAGAAAAATACGCACTATAAACAGCAGCTGTATCTTTCTCGCGAATGTTGCCTGTAATGAACACTTTGTTGATGACAATGAAATAAACAAAGATCGATCACACACTACGTTTGTGTAGCTTTGGTCTGTATTGCGTCATGCATTATTTACAGTGGGTGTGAATATTCCTTAAGTGTTTAGATCTCATAACATTCAATACAGCCAATTGGTTCACGCCTCCAGTTGTCTCAAACATGTATAACACGCATCCACGTTACAGGTAAAAGTGCTGGAACACTTTATCTGACCATCTCTTTAGATAAGACAGTAGCCAGTAAAACGACAGCTATTCTTGAGAAAAGTAATTGGTTCTGACCTGATGTTGTAGATTACAGATATACTAGCAGTGTACCAAAGTAGCTGCTATTTGCATCCTAGATCTATTGACAACCAATCGATTTGCAAAGTACACCAACCAACCCAATAAAGGGATCTACAGTTAAAAAATAGTAAACCTATATTTAGTACACGGTAATTATGTGCGATATAATGGTTTTTAAGATATATTCAATATAAAGATTTTAATATAAAATCTTAATTGATCTACAGAAATTCAAAATTTCTCTGTTTCTGAATTTTGGGGTAGACATCCGGTTTTCTGGTGGAAACATTATCATGATTATCATATATTTCTGCTAGTTACAAATGGTATTTTCGCTAAGTACTGTACTTTGTTAATGAACTCAGGAAAAAGATAATGCGATGTTGAGTTCAGACAAAAAAAGGGGGAGAGATAGTTTCTCTGTCATTTAAGTGTCATTTTGCTGTTAAAGCATGTTGTTGGATGCAATGGGTGTGTAAATCATTTCAGAAATAATTACAAAATGTTTTTCTGAATTTAGTTTATATGTACACGTGATTTAGACAGAAATGCACGTGCATTTACGCAATAGGATAACTTGAGACGTATGATAATCGTTAACCATGTGTTAAGTTAATATCAAGTGAAGATTTAAAGTTCAAAGTCACGCGATAATTTGAAGACATGTAATAACTTGAAGCTTGAAGATTATTTAAAACGATACCATAAGTACAATAATGATTATTATTGTGACATTCTTAATGACCCGTCAACACATAAAAGGTCATTAGGGCCATCAACCGGTAAAACACACAGCGATCCAAAACGGAAATAACACCAAAGAAACTAAAAGGTGAAAGACAAATGTTAAAAATCTTAAATGGATATGTTCTCACAAAAAAATTAAAATGGTAAGTCATAGTCTATTATATACACCAACATCTTTCAGATAACCTAGAATTTTACAAATCTCAACAGTTTTGAAAAGGGTCTTTAGACTTGTAACGTTACGATAAAAATGTCTCGGGTAGACAGAAGGTCAATGCTGTCATACGTATAAGCAATTCTTGCTGTGTAATATAATTTATCACAGATTGTCTACAGTTACCTAAGGATGAACCGTGTTGATGACAAACTGAGATCGGTTCGGCCGGTAATCTGTGTATCTAGTTGCGCCGAGGTTACACTCCTTTGTATGAGACGACCTACTCTACAATGTATGCCCGGGGGCCGGGATGTGCTGTGGCCTTTATACAACGACACGTGGATCGGGCGATCCTAGCTAGTTAGACACACACACCGATGTTTACTATCGTTGTGTACAGCCGTATTACGTGTGATCGATATTTTTAATTTCAGTCCGTCGACCATATTTTTCGTATCAATACATTCTTCCAATCATATAAACTTTGACGATTACATGATTCTGCCGCAAGCCTTCAAACAATGTAAGACAACTTTCGAGCGGTTTGTTTACGCTAAATTCTGCCGTTTTACATCAATTACGGTTGTATATCCCAGTACGTCTACACCAGACTAACCAATACTGAAGTGATCATTTCCAGTTTAATTATGAAATATTCTGCTTGCACTTGTAATCATTGTAAGTATATCTACGGATGACCGATAGCAAGAGCTGTTCAAACAAAGACAAAAGCAGTAACATCAAACATTAATGTTACGATGTTAATATTGGATAAGTGTCACAGTGAAGTCAACACAGCATGTACATAATACCAACACAAACATGACACAGTCATCAGCTTAATTATCTCACAAACCAAAAATAAGTAATAATCAATTTTTATGAAGAATGATTGTCAGGAAAACTAAAAATAAATACGGAACGAAACCTAATGTCAATAATTAATTCACAGATTAGAAAAAAAAATTATTTACAACAATTGCGAAATAATTTATTTGTACTTTATCTAATCAATCTCTGTGGCCCGGATGTAAACGCGCTATGGGTCTCTTACTGTGGGGGAAAACCCTTAGTACACGAGGAAGTGGTCTAACAGGAGACACTGTACATTTTCAAATCCGTTCCAGGAATCGAACCCCTGGAATCCATATATAGTAATTGTAAATAAAAAACTTGATTTTGCGATCAGTAGCAAAAGTCGCCCGTTTCCTCTGTACTATCCCAACCCTTCTGTAGTATTCCTAGTGTCCTACTATGCTTACATCTACCACAGAAAACTGAGTCTTAAACACACAAAATTCCAGTCCACTATAGTACCATAGAAAAAGGTAGGAAACTTGCACGTTCGAGATCCTCGGAACGCCGTTCGGAGTTCCTAAAAAAGTACAAAATTTGATATTTTTACTATTTGCACTATTTAAAATGTAAACTTACACTAAAACACGTTTGAAGAATCTTTAATCAATATTACGGACATGTGTTACATCAAGTTGCGCTGTGAAATGTCACTATATCTGCGCTCGAGTTTTCCAAGCAGTCACGTCATTCAGTAGATCCCTATAAAGGAACTCTCAAGAGCTAGCCAATCAACTAGCTCCTAGAAAATCTATATTTAGAAATGACATACATTCGTCATACAGCGGCTGGGCTGGAACGGGGAAGTTTCCTACCTTTTTTGTATGTTGCTATAGTTGACTGGATTTTAGCTTGTGCTGTTTACGTTCCTGTGCATTAACCAACCAGAGGGGAGCGATAGCGGCCATTTTGTTTTTCATTGTCTGTTTTGTTTGCGGGCTCATGATACTACTCCTGTATATCAGATTCTGTAGTAATTGATTTGCTTATTCAAATGAATTAGAAGCCATGAAGTGAGCTTGCATTGTCTGTATCAGCCTTTCGATAAAGTTTTATTACAATCCATCAGATTGTTTCAGCCAATCACAGACAGTAATGGTCATTCTTGATATCCGTTACGAAAACAAAAGTCAGATGCACTTGTACACGTCCTAGACAGTATAGAGGTGAAGTTTTATGAAGATTATGAAGGTGTCATTCCGTCTGAACCAAAAGTATTCGGAATGAGAGAGTAAATACACAGAATGATAAGTCACAGATTTCGTGAAGAGGTGATTCCATAATTATGCAAAATAAAATACGTACATCGAATCTGATTGGTACAATGAGAGTAACACGTGAACAACACGTCTCAAAAAAATTTTAAAAATTGTGATCTATAATTAAAAAAATGAAAAAGAAATGTCATCTGTGACATTTTTAAAGAGCACTGAGGGTGTGAAATAGTAAACACCAAAAGTTATATGATACAGAAATCGACACACGCACTAAGTATTATATAGAAAACGTATTAAGATACTCTCATTTCGAGTTCAGAAATATGCTTTCAAAACTCTGAATTATCTTTACATGGCTATCTCTGTGGTACTGTGCTGCTGTAAACGCGATGTATTGATATTTACAAACTTGATTTGCTATTTAATCTGAGACATTAACTGTTCGATTTCGTTTCGTTAATTTGGTATCGAACTCTATCAGGGTAATACAACAGAACAGAAACGGAACGAAACTGCAAGATAAACCCCATGACTCTCAGAAATATTACCTCGTTATGTAATAACACGCACTATCTTCTAAAGATCCATTCACGTGTAAAATCAAATTGATTTGTTTACAAAACTGTTTTACACTTAGTTTCCACCTTCCCTTTTGCTTAGATAATGTCCAATGTGTTTGAGATAAATGACTTAAACGATCAGTGTTGACGGCTAGTATAACGTTTTTCTTGTTTCTCTTTCATTTGTAAAACGTCATACTTTGAGTCAATACCGCTGCAACAGAGCATCTTCTGTCTAAAAATTGTAATTTGTTTTTTTTTTCACTCTCCGTTTCCGATCAGATTTTTAATTAAATTTTCAACGGAAGCATTTCTCAAATGTTATTTATCACCCTACTGATGAAAACGATCGATATTTATTTTACATGAGATAATTTTCTACTATGAAATACATGTAAGTCACACGCTCCACTACAGAGAGTAAGTAATCACACGAACCTAGAACAGGGTTTGGTAATCACACGCTCCACGACAAGGTCAAGGTAATCACACGAACCTAGAACAGGGTTTGGTAATCTAATCACACGAACCTAGAACAGGGTTTGGTAATCACACGCTCCACGACAAGGTCAAGGTAATCACACGAACCTAGAACAGGGTTTGGTAATCACACGAACCTAGAACAAGGTTTGGTAATCACACGCTCCACGACAAGGTCAAGGTAATCACACGAACCTAGAACAGGGTTTGGTAATCACACGAACCTAGAACAGGGTTTGGTAATCACACGCTCCACGACAAGGTCAAGGTAATCACACGAACCTAGAACAGGATTTGGTAATCACACGAACCTAGAATAGGGTTTGGTAATCACACACTCCACGACCAGGTCAAGGTAATCACACGAACCTAGAACAGGGTTTGGTAATCACACGCTCCACGACAAGGTCAAGGTAATCACACGAACCTATAACAGAGTTTGGTAATCACACGCTCCACGACAAGGTCAAGGTAATCACACGAACCTAGAACAGGGTTTGGTAATCACACGTTCCACGACAAGGTCAAGGTAATCATACGAACCTAGAACAGAGTTTGGTAATCACACGCTCCACGACAAGGTCAAGGTAATCACACGAACCTAGAACAGGGTTTGGTAATCACACGCTCCATGACAAGGTCAAGGTAATCACACGAACCTAGAACAGGGTTTGGTAATCACACGAACCTAGAACAGGGTTTGGTAATCACACGCTCCATGACAAGAACAGGGAAGGAAACAGCACGGCCTTTCTGTAATAAATGACACTTATGTCAAACATTTTCACCACAAAATATTTTAATTTTTTAATTTTTTTTATATATACTTGGTGTCACAACTCTTTATAATGAAGGCTACTGTCTTTGTTATATATTGTGTATTGCTTGTTTACCTTTCACAATAACAATATAGATTTAAAACACAAAGCATGATATCATATCTAGTGTTAACTCAACAAGTCAGTCGGTTCCGATATGTACATTAAAAATTGACAATGTAATACCTCGTTTTCAGTCTCGTTTTGTGCGTTTGTTTAAAGCAGAAATATGAGTATAAGAAATGTCAGTGTATTATCAATATACCAGTAAAATACGAGAGCTATCGAAGAGCTTCATGTGTTCCTTCGCTAGTTTCCAATTCCGGGTCTGTAAAGACAGTCAGCACCAACAATGATGTATTATAGTGCCTCGCTCACCGCTCAAGTACATTTGTTCCCGCGAAAGATCACTCTGTCGTAAATAACAAATACCATTTGTGTAAGCACCAAACGAAATGGTTAACATTGGTGATAAAACTGAGGCGTTATGACAGAAAAAATAATATCACAACGAAATATCTATCTAAACACGAGGCCAGTTTTCAATCTTAAATTACATTGCTCCGATACCTGAATTTCCAAATAGCATACCAAGAATTACTTTTACTGAAATTCAAGATATAATCGGAAATTCTAGAAATAATCGGTTTTGTCGATTATCTATATGTTTGAGTTTGGTCGATAATACTGACTGAATTACTGGTAGGACTAGAAGAAAGACAGATGTTACAAAACTGATTCTCGTTCGTAGACACCGTTATTTTTTATTTTCTAGAGGACGTAACTGGGTGTGACAAAATGATGATGATCAAATATAACATTGTCTTGTCATGAGCTATAAATATGTCTGTCCAGCAGAGTCTTTGATTTACAGGATAACTAGGCACACCTCGTGTTTGTTGGACGGACACTCCAGTAAATTGCCTCTCCCGTCTGGACGAAAGCGCCATTTATCCATGGTTATTTCATAGACTTCACTGACGCAAACTCGAATCTACTGAACTAATTGTATATTTGATAAATGGCTATTTGATAGTCTCTGGAAGACAGCAATAGAACGTTTTCAATTCATTAATTTGATTTTTCTTCTATATAATAAATGGATTTTAGAACAAGAGCGATGAAGTACGTCGAGGTATGATTTTCAGCCAATACGGTTTCTACTCAGTGGATTTCCTTTACAAAGGTTTTCAGTGAACATGAAAAACGCTCGGTCTCGATGGAGACGTATTACGAGCAAACTAGAAACTTGATCGTCAATTATTCGTGCAACAATTTAGTCTTATACCGACAAAAACATGTATTGTTGATTGGAAAAGTGAATGCAAATTTCCTTTCACAGACATTGAGAGATAGGCAGTCTTAACGAATAGATTTATGTAAAGCGACAGGCAATCTTAAACAATATATTTATGTATAAAGATAGGCAGTCTTAAGGAACAGATTTATGTGAAGAGGGAGGCAGTCTTAAACAATAGTTTTATGTATAAAGATGGGCAGTCTTAAACAATAGATTTATGTGTGAATGTGGAGATTGCTAAATTTTACTGTGTGAATATCTCTGTGTGTAATCATTTAGGGTAACTGACACTTGCTGGATTTTACTGTGTGAATATCTCTGTGTGTAATCATTTAGGGTAACTGACACTTGCTGGATTTTACTGTGTGAATATTGACGAGTTAATAACCACTCCAAACAAACACTTTAACCTACATAACTTTTTGATGAAGATGTACAGATAATGATAATTAAGAACCTGGTTAAGTAGTAGTATACGCTCAGATCCAAGACTTTGAATGCCTATTCAACTTAGATGTATTTGCTAAAAAGTTGATTTTATGCTATTATAACCGTTTTCCTGTTAAATCATCATCAACAAAACACTATATCGGGTTGTAGAAAAAGTAAACAAATAAGAAAGTAAATAGATACGTCCGGTTTTATCTTATTTTATTTGATTTTATTGGTCTTAAAGATATTTTGTAAAGGTGATTCAATTTTTTATATATATATATATATATATATATATATATTTTATATATATATATATTTTTTTTGGGTTGTTGTTTTTTTTTTTTTTTTTTTATCGAAAATACCTACAAATGTATATTTCAAACCTGTGCTCAATTATTTGTAAAACCGAGTTACTGAAAATAAGAAAGTAATTTATAACTGCAGTGCCACCAGAGACGGAATGCTACAGAAAATGTTATATGTAAAATACGCCCTAATCAAAACACACTTGGAAGAATACTCCAGTTCCATCTAAGGCAAACAAGTCACAGAGGGACCGATACTTGTCTATAACATTCATTGAAAAGCTATACTTAAGAGAGTTGTGATCTTTTCGGAAAGAAAGCTTTATATCAGTTTGTTATTTTTCTGTCTATTTGAAACACAGAAAAAACGACAAAACAAATCGACAATTGCTTATAGTGCTTGTCAACCGAAGTATCCCTAAGGTCTAAGGTTTCGGTAGCTTCATCCAAGGAACTCGCATCAAACACGCGATCACTATCACATATCAGATAAACGACCTTTCCCAAACATCTTGTGATCCGACGTTTGAAGTGACAGCAATGTGCAAAATGAGATATAATAATGGAATTTGAATGTGTTGGTTTGTTATACCGAGGGGAAGTTGACATAAACGATTGAACTAAAAATTAAGTTTGATCATAGACTTCATGTTTTTGCTGTATAAACTGCTCTATTCCTACATGTTTGAAAGTTTGCCTGAAAATGTTGCAAATATGCTTTACTAAAAAAACTACGTAAAGTTCGATGTATTTTTCTCCTTAATTTGATCATTGATTCGATACACGGACGTCAATCTTATGTCATATCTGTATCTACACCGTGTAGAATTCGTAATTCGATGTTAAGGTGTCAAAAACACTCACCAAATGAATAATTACAGCAAAGTTATCAAAATAACTCTGACATGCTAGTGGCATTATGACACATTAATCGGAACGTTTCCAATGTTTGAGACGGATATAGATATCCGTTTGGGAAGAATATGCATCTCAAGTACAATCAGCGGATTGGCTGCATCATTAAAGAAGCAATTTTTTTTGGTTTTTTTTTTTTTTTTTTTTTTTTTATTTATTTTCTTTTTGTTTTGTTTTGTATTTTTTTTTTGTTTTTCTGTTTTTTGTTTAATGTAGACGTACTTTTTTATCGTAAATTTTTAATACTGTTAATTTACTTGTTGTTGACATAACGTTTTTCTGCCTTTTTACAGATACCGAGCTCAATGTATATAAAGCTGGAGCCTTCTTGGCGGTATATGGCCAGAGGTCTTATAAAGTTCTTCCAGGCCAACTTCTGGTTTGATTTTCTTCTGTATCTGGAGGACGATTTTCTCTTTGATGGATTTTACGACGAACTACACAGCATCACGGACGATGATAAATGGAACATCAGTGAGGAAATATTCTCCAAAAAAATGACCGACAAAGAAATGTATCGTAGTTTAAATACCTCTGTGAACAGGCAAGATCGGATTATAGTCATCCACTCAAGTGTTGCCATGGCCAGAAGGATATTTAAAGTTGTGAGCTCTGTGAATCTTTTTTCAGATATACACATAGCTTGGTTTTTAACTGAGAGGGCATATACTCGGAATAAAACGGTGCTAAGGATTTATCCTGAAGGTAGTCTTGCCTTGCTCATGAATGACGCAGTCAACACTGTTGACCTGCTACAAGACGTCATATCACTTGTGTCGACAGTGTTCAGAGATTTGCCAACAGAAGATAAGCGTCTGTTTGCCAACGTCAAGTACGACTGCGACAACTTGTCAAACATAAATGTGTGTCTTGGAGAAAAATTGTACAAGTAAGTGTTGTCATAATTATTTTATGATGAATATCATTTTATAACCGTAATTGAATTAATTAAATGAATGTAATCAATGTTTGTGCAGTATATACTATCCTGTCACTAGTTATACAAAGATATCAAATTTTCTATTCTTGAGTGAAAATTACTCCTTATTCGTGCAGTTTAGTTGGAAAGTGTGAGTTGTTAAAATTCAGGGAGGTATCTGATTAAAATAGTTGATGAATGAGTATACAAATTAACGATAATTGTAAATACTTGTACAAAACGTACCCTTGGTATATGTTAATCGTGTCAACAGGTATGCAAACAGTTAGCTAGACATGAAATAGCCATTCATTGGTTTAGCGATAGGACGCTTGGCATGTTTTATGCTCATGTTTGCCTGATAATTGCGTTGTTGTTTCATTGTTCTCACTTGAGAACCTGACATTTCATGCTTGGATTGACCAACACCTGTTCTTATTATCCTTGTACTTTTTCAGGAGTTTCCGTGTTAATCTTTCTTTTGTTCATATCTTGCCCTAGATTTATTGAATTAAGGTATGGATTATGATTTGGTTAACGCATTGGTAACTTTTTGTTGTTTCTACAATTTGTTTATGTGATGAGAACAACTTAATTTTTGCTTTTTTGACCCTGATCTGAAGTGTCAGTTTATTTCTATATTTCTCAAGAGTAAGAACAAGTTTAACGAGTACAGTTTTTGACGTCATAGTCGAACAATGAAAGAAGCACGTGGGTAATCAAATTAAAGATTAGAATAGGATCGCGTGCTTCTAAAGGAAGGCTGCTTTACCGAAGACACACGTTATGTAATATCTAACAACAGATCGGAGTATTGTCTCATAGTCACTGCCACAGCGTTACCACAAGGACACACCATCAAACAAATCGGCATTCTTGTCGCTATAAGATCAGCATGTCGGTAATTCCATTCGCAATATTTCTTCAATAATGTGTGTCCTTTGTGCTGAGAGCTTGTCTGTCCACAGGCGACATCTGTGGTGAAACATGTTGAGACATGTAAATTCAGCAAAAACCATACAAACAATCAAAGGGAAAGTGAAGACTAATAAAGTCGGCACACTTATCATATAGATTAATGGCATGCCAAGTAAAAGCAGTTGCCATGTTAAGGGGCAAATGTCATAAGAGTATTAAATGAGTTTTATGACTTTACTTTGATTGATCAAGATCGCAAGTCTTTGATGAAGCAGAAGACTATTTCCCTTCCGGAATACATTGACGTATTCTCCTTTTACACGATAAGTTATCTCCCTGTCTTTTGTGAAGATTCATGTCGCCTTTAGACGAATAAATTAGATTAGTTACATGGCAATCATCAATCATACTAGACACCTTTTAATTTGTACAAAGATTATAAGACAAAACGACCGGAAAATGTAAGCCTTGTGCTCTAAAAAAACCACTTGGGTCATCCAAGTAATTCCACGCTCTCAAACTGAGAGCCCGGGCAGACAGATTAACAAATACCGAGGGAAAAGAATGACTACCATATCATAAGATATAGAATATTTCCAAATAGCTCTCATTAACCTGAAGATACCTAACAATATGTGTCACAACTTTTTGCATTTGTATTAAAAATCTTTCGGAGAAATTCTAACATTCGAGATACGCTTTTGAATATCGATTAAGCTTTGGTCAGTGACTTTACAACAGCGGTATTGCTCGTATCTTTATCGACTGTATTCGACTTTCATTTATCGACTGTATTCGACTTTCCTTTATCGACTGTATTCGACTTTCCCTTATCGACTGTTTTCGACTTTTATACCAATTATCAGAGCTTCGTCATAATTTTCCTAATGAACCACCATAATTAGTGTCCTATGTATCCTTAATGATTTAATATAGACTCGGATTTAGTTGATAAAGGTCACCGGGAACAAATTTATCTTAGTTCTCATTAACTTATCGGAAGAGGATGCTTAGTCAGAACATTTCGGACACCTATCGTTTTCATTAATGCTAACGTAAAATCGTCAGACGTAAAATCCCTTTCGGTTTGGCTGTAAAAACGATATCATTGAATACAATTAGGCACGCTGTGACGAGTTAGAACTCTAGGCTGTAAGACTACATCTTGGAATGAAATACTACATCAATTGTAGGCCAGTGAATGAATACTACAGAGCAATCGTCGGAAGATCTATGATGTATACCTCTTACTGTCTGTGCGCTAAATAAAATGGTTATCGGTAGTGCGACAGTTATATTCCAGATTACGACAGACAATCCAGACAATCACGGACGGAGTCGAGTAGCGGGTAATCTTGATAGAAACATTGATTCTTTGTGCAGCCTGCTGTGGACGATAACCGTTCGTTGTCGTTGCTCTTTTGATGTGCCAAGATAGATCTACGTACTGAAGTACACAACGTTTACATGTAAAAAGAGTAAAGAAATTGTGATCTGGAAGATTAAGCTTTCTTTGCTGCATTGGTGACTCCTGCAATACCAATCTAGGTCACTGTAACTCTAGTCTCGCTGAGAATAAGGCGTATACCGAAAATGAATTATTGAAACAGCTCATTATTGTCAAAACAATGATAGTGTCTGCTTTTGTCCAAGTCGTTAATACCGTATAACGTACTTTCATCTTTCGTGTCATTTGCTATTCAAAAAGACCTAAATACACCAGAAGACAACATACTATACATGTATGATGAGACACAATGTCAGGAGAACTTTTTAATTAACAGTTTGCCAATGGATTACGATAAACAAGAGACAGTTTAACATAAGTTAAAAAAACTTGTTTTCGCATCCAATTCAGATGTGATTGTTCTTATATAATCATGATATATATATGTACATCATTTACCATACACAATTTCTGTTTGAAGTAACATAACTTAAGTCCTCCCATTACGGATGTAGGTGTAGTCCTTATACCTGTATGTGTAATCGATAAGAAACACTAATTTGTATTAACCGTCAGCCAATCAAAAAGCGCTTTTGAAAAGTTATCATTCCTCTGTATTCCTAACTTTGTTTATTGAAATTTCTTACAATTTTCCTATTTGCTATACATTATATAGAAACAACTTTGATACTTATTCATTACAAATGCTGTACGATATGATGCCTCTTCGAAATGCTGACGACAAATTGAATCACCAAGCCTATTTTACCTATAATGACAAAAACACCCGAATGACTGTTAGCTACTGTTACATAGTGGTAGACTGGAATACACGTTAGGTCTTTACTGACGATAGTGAAATACACCATTAGTGTTAGTCCCACAAACCTGAATAACATAGTATTCTTCTGTAAGAACATCGGGTTTGTCCACCTAGTACATCTCCATATACCATTCTGAACGGAAAGAAGCATTATTTTCCATGAAAGGTGAAGGTCGGCACAAAGTTTATGGTTGTAAACTAAACTGAAGTGTAACTTGTGAACAGTATGTTCAAATCAAAGGAGAAATATACGGAAGACGAGATCATAAAAATGGCCGAGTTTCTGGTTGACAACATCTGCGTCGAGTTAGGTGGCAAGATCTTCCTGCAGCCTTCTGACATACCTATGGGAATAAAGTGTAGCCCGCTATTAGCTAACTTGTTTAGGATTTCATACTAAGCTGCATTTATCGAATAGCTAATCAAAGCAAGTTACAAATGCCTTGAAAATTCCTTTAATTTCGCTTTCAGACATATTGATGACGTTTTGTTTCAGGATAACAAGTGCCTATTTGTATATATCCACCAGAATTGGAAAATTGAGGACGAGACAGACTTTACAACTTCAGCCATTAATCTGCATCCTCTCCTACAACGAAACCAACATTAATAGCACGCTGTATGATAAGCTTTCACTTTTCTCCTGTTGTGAATTATTTACCATTTGTGAATAAGCAACAATGCAACATTAATGTACATCCCAAAGATATGGTGTTTTTATGTCGCAGTTTATTCGATATTCAAGAGCCTGTTCCCATTATTTTCGTGCAAGAAGTCGTCAACTGACGGACAAACTCATAACAAAGGGTTTCAAAAGATGCAGATTTATGGGAAGTTTACGGCCGCGATTGTGATCCAATTTAGAAATATTCTATTTGATTGTGCGATAAGAAGCTGGACGCGTTTAATGTTTTTTACACTGTACTTTGTTGTTGTTTCCGTTGTTATATACCTTGTTCTCATTTGAGAACATGACATAACTGACTTGGATTTTACAAGATTTACATGGCGAGTGTCGTCGAAGAAACAGATGACGTTTACTCTTCCGCAACACCTGGTCTTATTCTCCTTGTACTTTACCAGACGCGTCCGTGTAAATCTTTCCTTTGTTTATATATTGCTCTTGTTTTATTAAATGTTTGTATAAATCATCATTACTTCATATATCGATATATCCTTTTGTTTCTGTTAGGTTTTAACATTATAAATTGTACAAAGATATGTATATAAACTGATATATCTTCTGCATTATATTATTTTGTTTATAGGTTTTAGTCTGCAAATGATGTACTTATTATATATTTAAATAAAATGTTTATCGTTATCTTCTTAGCACTACACCTAGTTAACAACATGAAAGATTGAGAACTTTGCTGTTAAATGCATCATTAGGGTTTGGAACTTTGGATTACTGATATCGAATATATTGAACATTAGGGATCCCCCATCAGAGACATTTGAATTAGATAATCTTATTTCTCGGTGAAATCTCTAATTGCTTTGTCAACGTTATGCTAAGCATTTATTGTAACCGGCACTAAAGTAACCATAGTCATTGTAAATGTCAGCAGCGGGTATATAGAGAATATTCAGTGCATGACCACTGTCTTAAAATATAAGTTGAGTTTGGCAGAGATGATGATAGACTGAAGTGTTGAGACACTTCTGTGTTATTTATCGACCAGAAATGTTGTTTATATTTCAAGACACTGACTATGTATTTTATCTATTGTACAACATTTATTAAAATCGATTAAGAATATAGAAACTTCAATCATTTGA